CAAATTGATATGATGACCATCCTCTCGTTGACGGGATATCTGGATGATGCTGGCGGCCCACCAATGAGATGTGTCTCTTTTTTTCTTTTTTCTCTTTCTTTTTTTGTTTCTTTTCTCTCTATTTCAAATTACATACTCTAACCACACACGCACCTTATGTATTCGTCTCTATAACTGCCATCGACTGCAACTACAACAACGTCTCGCCGCAACCCACTACCAAATACGCTCAAACATAACTCGCTTAATATTCGTCGTCGTCGCCGCCGCCGCCGCCGCCGTCGTCCTCGTCCTCGTCCTCATCGTCGTCGTCGTTTTGCCCCTCTTCTGAATCAACGGATCAATGCACCTTGCAATCGCACCATCAACGCCATCGCCAACAACAACTGCAACACCACCAACACCAACACCACCACCACCAACCACTCGTCGAATGCTCGCCCTCTCCAATAACAGACAGCAAAGCCCGTCATTCAAGATGATGCTGATGGTCACTTAATATACCACAACGGAGACATTCTCCATCACAGATGTTCGTGACAATTTTTTCGTTTTTAATTTTTCCATATGTTTATGTTTAGAGTTTACCACAGACTTTCCAACTTTTTTTTTTCTTATTTTTAAATTTTCATTTCAAAGACAATGAGCAAAACTGCCTTCTGCCGCACAGTAATTCTTCTACTCGTAACTCGTACAGTTTTCAACTATCCAAGTTTTCTTTATTATTTCTTAATTATCTTACGACAAAATCGTCGCGGCGCAAGACTTCGCGTGCGTCGCCGCCGTTCCAAAGGCATATTTACTAAAAAAAAAAGCGCTAAAACAAAAAACAAAAGATAAATTAAAAACCAAAATTAAAAGAAACCATTTTCACACAATTTTTGCCATGATTTTCCGAAAGACAGAAACAAAGAGAAAAAAACTTCAATTTAAAGTTCAACTGAAATTAAACTATACCAAATTTTTACTTTTACCGGTCGTAATTAAATTGAAATCTCACACACACTCTCACACAGACACAGACACATAGTTACGTACATTACTTGAACTTTCAGCGCATAATTAACGAAATAATATTGAAACTGAAAACTTTTCCGTGTACAAATTGTTCAAAGCAGCAGCTCGAGCATACTTTGTGGTCTTTTTGCTTAAATCCGAAAGATGCCCAGTTACAGGTTTAGATTTTAGCGTAAATGACTAACAAACAATTTATAATTGGTGTAATTGACCGTATGACATTGACTACAATACGCCTCCTTTTGCCACATTTCAGATAAGATCATGGCCACACTGGGCGAGGGCACTTTCGGACGTGTGGTCAAGGTCAAAGACATGGAACGGTAAGTACAATGAAATGCCGAAAAATTATATGATCTATATATAAATGCAAATAATAATAAAATTGTACGCAAATACCCATTCGATTCACAGTGATTTTTGCATGGCCTTGAAGATCATCAAGAATGTTGAAAAATATCGCGAGGCAGCCAAACTGGAGATCAATGCCTTGGAGAAGATAGCACAAAAAGATCCGCATGGTGAACAGTAAGTTGGCCATTAATACAAATACATATATACATATATGTATATCAAAGAAATCATTTGTATAAATGTCTAATCGGTTATTTCTCTTGCAGTCTGTGCGTGAAAATGATTGACTGGTTTGACTATCATGGACATATGTGCATAGTTTTTGAAATGCTGGGTCTCAGTGTTTTCGATTTTTTGGTCAGTATTTCAAAAGCCTCGTAGGTTGATAACTCGTATCTAATATTCTGTTTTGATTGCAGCGCGAGAATAACTATGAGCCGTATTCTCTGGACCAAGTGCGTCACATGGCTTATCAATTATGCTACTCAGTTAAGTTTCTGCACGACAATCGTTTAACGCACACAGATCTCAAGCCGGAGAATATACTGTTTGTCGATTCGGATTACACATCTCACTATAATCATAAACTTGTATGTATTGAAATATTGTCAGATTATTTATTGTTGTATTTAACGCCTCGTTGCTGTTTCCTATAGAATCGGGAAGTGCGTCGCGTCAAGAACACAGACGTGCGTCTAATTGATTTCGGTTCGGCCACCTTTGATCATGAGCATCATAGCACAATTGTCTCGACGCGCCATTATCGTGCGCCTGAGGTGATATTGGAGCTTGGTTGGTCACAGCCTTGCGATGTTTGGTCTATCGGGTGAGTTGATGGCTATATTACTATTACTAGTAAACATTTTTCTAATTTCTTCCCATCATTTCGCTTTCAGTTGCATTCTGTTTGAGCTCTATTTGGGCATTACGCTGTTCCAGACACATGACAACCGCGAGCATCTTGCCATGATGGAGCGTATCCTGGGACAAATTCCATATCGCATGGCACGGTAATACAATGCAGCTCATGCTTTTATTTCCCAAGGCGCAGTACTCTTCACCGAAACCATTTAACGTTTAGCAATCACACTCTTTATAGCAAAACCAAAACAAAGTACTTCTATCATGGTAAGTTAGATTGGGATGAGAAGTCCAGCGCGGGACGTTATGTGCGGGATCATTGCAAGCCCCTGTTCCTTTGTCAACTGAGTGACAGCGAGGACCACTGCGAGCTGTTCAGCTTGATCAAGAAGATGCTGGAATACGAGCCCTCGTCGCGCATCACGTTAGGTAAGTTCACCAAATACACATACATTTGAGTCCAGATCTAATTCGCAATATTTACAGGTGAGGCTCTGCGACATCCGTTCTTTGATAGGTTACCACCGCATCAGCGCCTAGGCGAAATGAGCATCAATAAGCAGCCACTCTCGTCCGGCAGTAGCAGCCGCGAGCGCTCTCACAGTCTGTCCAGATGAGAATTACAGCGATTTGGTTATTGTTGACAACAGAGACGACGACATCAACGTTATTCAACACACACAACTACAAACATGCGTACACACACAGTGCGAAGAGTCTTCAATCAACGTAATGCAACACATGATTGAGCAGCAGACAAGCGGCAGCAACAACAGTAACAATTATAACTACAATAACATTAATATACTAACGGCGATCCGTAATTTAAGTTCTAAAGTCATATTTAGAAATTTTGTAACTTGACTTGTATAGAAGGACATTTCTACACAAAAATAACCCAGAATTGTTAAGTAAATATTGTGTGCATGCCGCACGCTCTGCTCAATTCGATCCTGTGCATTGTCTCATCCCAGCCGCCAATCGTGTTTTGTTTTGTAATGATAACCAAATCGTGCATAATATATTTATAGTGCGTCCTCCTAGCCCGATACTGACGCCGCCAAACCCAAATACCTAAATGTAAATGCACACAGAAATGTGCATACTCTTCACTTGAGATAGATAAAGAGACCTCCCCCAACACGACTGCATTGCTTAAAGAAAACTAAACTACAATTGTAAATGTACTATATAAGAAGTCAATCGATAAAGCGCTAGTTGAAATGCAGATCCATGCGCAAGCTGTCAATTGTCATGGACTTGCTTCTAATCTGTAATTAATCTATTATTTTTCGAGTGCGTGAGTTGTAAGCTAATGCAAGCCAATGCACATACACATATACCCATAGCTAGCCCCACATGTAAGCCTATATGTGTATGCCAATATCATATGTAAAGATCGATTCGCATGACACCTCGCCCCGGAGGGTGCCACAAGCAACAACAAAAAAGCAAACGCTGCATTGTTTGTAATTCTTTGTATAAATTACTTAGTAGCCAGAGTCATTTTCTCCTAGGTTATGTTTAATGTGTAGAATCGGCGCTGTTCACATATTTTTCCATCAAAGTACGCCCAAACAATACCAATACACGATATACACAGACACACACACACACACACACACACACACATTTATATATATTTATATGGAAAAAGAAAGAGCAAGAACACTAGAAAGTGGGGAATGCATGAAGTATATAGATACATATACTAAACATACTTAATTCAAATGATTGTGAGTTAGTTTAATATTACATAAATATTATTTTTAAATTACATTATTTGCAATTAATTAACCCCATCAACCAGCATATAAGATAAACAAAACAAAAAAATACAACTATTATTGTCAAGTTATTTAAAGTGAAATAAATTTTTAAAAATAATTTACTTGTATTTATTTATCATTTCAGAGCTAGAAAATTTTTTCTAACCCAATTGTATATTGACCGATTATTCGGAGCGGTTCTTGTGATTTGATAAGCAAAGGGGATTGTACAACGATCTATTGCTAAGATAGTCAATAATTTCAAAATATGAGTTGATAGGAGTAAATTATCAGCAAGCGTAACAAAAACAAACAATAGACGCTGAGTCATTGGCGACAAGAGTCGATCGCTGGGGTCACCAATTTTTTATAAAAATTGAGCTGAGGTGACAGGCGCACAGAAGTTCTAGCGGAGCTGATAATTTCATTCACTGAAATTTTTTAAACCGACTTCCGCATCTTACTCAGCGACTGTGAATTTATAAAATATGTATGTACATTTAAGTGGTTGTATAGGGGTATATAAACTATACATACATATATCGTCATAAATATTATTTTACACTGCGTTTCTTTAGCTACCTTCAATGTTGGCTGCAGCTCATGTGCAAAGAATTAAAAATATTGCATTATAGTGTTTATGATGGTCATCCAGACAGATGGAGTGTTCTCAGGTCCTATCCTATTTTACCAAAGATATCTATAAATTATCAGGAATTTCATTTACAGCTGTAAGATCAATAATTAAAAACTGTTTTCAATATTTTCGGGAATATTTTAGCATTTATTTGTTCATTTTAGTGGAGTTTCGCTACGTGTTTAAATGTCAATTTGTTTTTTCTTGTGTTTGTTTTCTAGAATTTTACAATTAGTTTCAACTAAATAAATAATAACAATTTATAAATATAATTCTCTTTTTTTTTTTTCTTTTTTGTTCTCTAAGTTGCTAGCTGTGTGCTTCGAGTGATGTGTTTGCTTGCTTCAACTTAAATATTTCCATTGATATTTCCCATTCAATAAGTATCTCGGAGTTAGAAATAGTATCAGTTATATGCTTTTGATTACAATGTTTCTTCTGCAAGAATTTGATGAATTAGGCAAAAAAGAAAACAATAAGCACATCGAAATGTGCATTAATTGGCTGCATTAGAACTTAATGGCTAAATTTCGGCTTATGCTAGCTAAATATATAAAAATAAAAGTTAAGTCTAAAGATTGCAACGAAAACAAAAAACCTATGCAAACTATGATTTATACTCAATAAATAAATATGTGCCTAAACATTTACAATCTGTTCAATAAAATGACAATAATAGGTATGTTCATCTGATCCATCTATATTATAATATATACACATTTAAAAAAAAACAACTGAGTTTAGCGTAAGCAAACGAAAACTGTTCTTTGCTTATAGTTCAACCATTCTCTCTATCTCTCTCGCTCTCTTTGTCTAAGTTTCCTTCGTCCGTTTTGTAACTTCGTTTCCGTTAACATTTTAATATTGTTTTATTGTCTATTTCAAAGATGTGGCAACGCCGCACAGGCGCAACTAAGCAGAGTCGTAATTCGATAGAAAATTATAGACAGTTTGGGGCTGACATCTAACTACACATATGTATGTATGAATATATATCTATATATAGTATATATCTATCTGAATATATACTGTTGATAGTTGCTTCTACTTATGGCCAATGACGAGCGTATAGTTTGCTGTGGTGACTGTCGACGGCAACGCCGACAGCGCTGGTCATTTGGCCAGCTTCAGGATCTCCGGACTTGCTCCAGCTGCTGCTGCCGGCACACCCGTTGGAGCCGGCGGAGCGGGCGCTATGCGTATGGGCTTGGCACGCTGCTGACTGAAGAGGCCGCTCAGTGTGGCCGCTGTGCTTGCGGTCAGCGTCACGCTAGCACTCCCAATGCTCGTCTGTCCACTCGGCATTCCTGTGCCTGTGCGCTTGCCTCGCACCACTCCATTGCTAGTGCTGTTCGTGGATGTGGGATGCTGCGGCTGCTGTGGCTGTTGCAGCTGCTGGCCAATTACTGCGGATGCTGGCGCGGATGTTGCGGTTGCCGAGGCTGAAATGTTATCCAACTCAGTCATTGCTTCTTGTATTGCCCGCTCGAGTTGCGAGTTCAGTTTGCGGCTCCTTTGTGGGTTGGTTGGTTGGTTGGTGGGTTGGTACATGGTTTTTGGTTGTGGTGTGTGTGCGTTCGTGTGTGTGTGTATGTGTGTGGTGTTTGGAAAGGTTTTTGGTTGGAGGTTGGGGTTCGAGTTGATAGTGACCATGACGATGATGATGATGTTGCACACATAGGGTTATACACACACACATATGCATACGCATACACACGTATTTGGTTTTAATTTTCAGCGCATAATTCAAAAAAAAAAAAAAAGGAAACAAGAATATTAATTAGCAAAAATAAAATGAAAATGTACAAACTAAAAGTAAATTCGAAACTAATTTCAAATTGCATTCATATGCCAATCAGTGCTACACTGCAATTCAAATACAAATACAAATACAAATACAAATACAAATACTAATACTAATACGAATTATATTCAAAGCTATTGCAAACGAATATCTAAATACTGCAAACGAAATTCATAATGCAATTACTTAATATAGTAATATTTATAGCTTCTAACGGTGCTGGCTCGAATTTTTTAGTTAATTATCAAATTCTTTTACAAATAACATTTCAAGGATCATTTAATGTTATATTTAGTTAAAATATTTCTTGAATCGAACCAACACTGCAGATGAAGCTCGATCAAAATATATATTGTACATATTTATATGAAACATAATAAAAATGATGTATAAAACTAAGAAATATTTAGAATTTAGGCTTAAAAGACATGACTAATCTATGTACTTTCTACATAAACAGCTTTAGGAAAAGGAACTAATGAAGCTTCTTTCTTATGGTGCTGTCTGGTGTAGGGATCTATACCAAAAGTTCAACACAATGTAGCTCTTATAGCACACTTGAAGACCCCATCGAACCCTGGCAAAACCTCTCTCAGTGACCTTCTGGTGGCATATGCATGCGCATCCGCCCACTTCGCCTAGTGATGCTCACTTTCTGGTATCCTTTTGCGCCTTGTGGTGCGCCTCCAGGCCCTCGGAAAGGCTCTGCAATAGGTTGACCGGGATTAGCTCGGAGGTGGATCGGCCGCCGCCGCCGAACCACTGCACCCACACGTGGTCGAATTGTTGCGACGGTGTGCAGACACCGTCGGGCATCTTGACTATCTTGCCGGGCCAGGCGGGATGCCCACGCGCCGGCCCCCAAATCAGCTCACCAATGGCGAATGTGCGCGGTGGCAACAGAGCCACACCATTTGGCGAATTTCTGGCCAGTGTGCGGTGGAGTCGGCGTGCCCGTTTCGTGGGTGTGCGGCAGTTGGCTTTGGGTGGTGCAGCTTCACTGGGCGCTGGTGCATCCGAAATGGGCGGCAGCTGCGTGGTGGTGGGCGACTCTACATATACAGATTTGGAGCAAGCAGCGGCTTGGTTAATGTGGCCCAGACTCAATACCCATAACCAGATACCCGACGTACAAAGGTAGGCAAAGCGGAAAAACAGAAAACAAAAGCGAAGTGTGGAGAGTGGCGGGTGCGAGGGGTGCGACAAGTGCGTGGCATGCAACAGGTGTGTGAGTGAGCGGTGTTTGGTGATTGGTGGATCAGTCAGTTAGTGAATGGATGCAATTAGTGGTTGCTGTGGTGCATTAGGACACTGGCAAAGCCTTACCCTGGTAGTCAACGCTAACTACTTTGTGATTATGGACATAGACGCTTTGATGGCTATTGGAGGTTAGGGGCTGTTGGTGATGTTGGTGGTGTTGGTGGTGCATGATTTGGCGACCCGATGCCGCTGTGGTTATTGATGGCGTTGACATTGTTGCCGACGCTGACGATGACGATGATGATGAGATGGACAGGGATGTGGTGCTAGTCAGTCGCATACCTTGGCCCATAAGTCCCACAGTGTGGTTGCTCTCCGTCGACGCCTGCTGCTGCGACGTGATGTGAATACGCCGAATCTTCGCATCCGTTGGCTTATAGATGCTGCTGGGCTGGCTAAACAAGTTGCTGCTGCAGATGGCTGTGAGGAGGATAGGGATTTGGATCAGTAAGTCGGCACAGTTATAGGTTTATCTAAGGTAGTTACTCCGCTCGCAATCCGTCGATGAGGGCGACTGCCGACTCTCAGCGCTCTGGGGCGAAATAGCCGCATCCGGCTCCGAGCTAGAGACGCACTGCACCTGCAAGACAGAGTTACCGAGTTATTAACAGAAATGCAAGTGCTGTAAGCTGTGTCAACGGCTCAGATTACGGACCATATCGCCGCTGCCGCTGCTCCGGTGACTGGGCGGTCGCTCAGGGCTGCGCGGGCTGCACGTGGTGGTGTCCGGCGGACTGGCGGCAGTCACTTGCCGATTGCTGTGTGGATCCGTTACGTAGCCAGTCGTCTGCGGTGGCTGCAGGCTGATCTGATGCTGCTGCTGCTGCTGTGGTGGTGCCTGCTGCTGCTGCTGAATCTGTATGGTGGCCGTGGGACTGGCCTGCACAAAGGAGGCGCCGCTTTGCTGACCCGTTGGCATGACCAGGCCCATGGGCGTCGAATAGATCTGGCCAATGGGACTCAGCTGGCCGTTGGCGCCCACAATATACTGCTGGCCACCGGTGCTGGGCGAGATGAAGGAGGGCTTGTTCTGTGGCGAGGGCGTGCGCAGCATCACCTGTCCCTGATGGGTGAGCAGACTCGTCGTGGGCATGTTTTGTATCTGCAGCAAAGTGGCGTCCGGACCCATGACCAGGCCCGCTGGCATTAGTAGCTGCTGACCAATGAGATTCACCTGCTGCAGAATCTGGCCATTCTGGAGCAGCAGCTGCTGTGGCTGGGCTGCAGCCGTCGCCGGTTTGTTGACCACAATGCCCTGAATGCCCGGACTCAGCTGGAATTGCTGCGAGAACTGCGCCGGAGCTGCGGGCGCTGCCACTGCAGCGGCATTGGCCGCCTGCTGCAGCAGAGCTGGCGCCTGGCTGGGTATGCTGGGCGAGATCTGGGGTGAATGCGTCTTTGCCGGCGAACCACCCACGCCACAGACCAAAGGCGGCGGCGGTGTGCTGCACACAGAGGTCTTGCGCTTGCGTGGCCGCCGCTTGGCCTCGGGCGACGTCATAATGGGTGCCGCTGGCTGTGGCATGCCCAGCATCGGTTGATGGTGCTCCTGGTGCTGCTGTTGCTGCTGGTGATGGACGATGTAGCCGCCATTGGGCAACGTGTTGAGCAGCACCGTCTGTGGCGCCGCCGACGTGCCCGCCGGACTGATCTGACTGATTTGGCTGGCCTGCGAGGTGATGATCTGATGATGCAGCAGCTTAGCCCCGCCAGCATTAAGTATCGACGACGGCTGGCTAACGATATACCCGCCGCCTGGCTGGGCATGCAGCTGGGCTGCCTGCGCCGGCCGCTGAGCCTGCTGTGCCGCAGCTGCCTGCTGCTTGCTAGCGCTGGGTATGACCAGCAGCTGGCCAGAGGAGGTCATGATCAGCTGGTTGCCGCCGCCACTGTTGTTCGCCATGGACTGCAGCTGCGCCACAGCAGTGTTCCCGCTGCTCAGCGTAGTGCCCCCCGGTCGACTGATGCCCGCCGTGGTCGTCACAATGCTGCGCGTCAGCGTGGCTGCCCCGTTATTGGCCATCGACTGCCTTTGGGCCGGGCCAACTGCGGGCTGGCACTGCTGCCGCAGCAGCCGCAGCTGAGCTGTGGGCTGGGCCGCTACTGGTTGGCTTGGCACCTGGCACTGGGACTGGGGCTGGGGCTGACGCATCTGCATTTGAATTTGCGCCTGCTGCGGCTTGGGCGAGGCGCTGGGCGTGCTCTTGCCCGAGTCCAGGGAATCAGTGGGCGGGGAGAGACTGTGTCGCGGACTCTCGTGGCTCGTCGAGATGGCGCCCACTTGCTCGGGGCGCTTCTCTGCCTCGGGCCCGCTGCTGGATACTGGCGACTCCTGGGGTGCCGGCACCACCGTAATGCTGGTGATCTGTGGCTTCTGTGGACGCGCGAATGCCGCTGCCGTGTCGACATGCAGCGAGCGCGGCGCACTTGGGTCCACCTCCCACTTGCCGCCCGTGAGCATCGAGAGMCGACGAATGCCTCGACGCTGCTGCTGCTGCTGCTGGTGCTGGGAGCTGTGCACAATGGGCTCCTGGGGCAGTGCACGGGCCGTGGCAGTGCCTGTGGCGTTGGCCGTGACTGGCTTGGCATCCAGACCCGCACCCAGCGTATTGTGCAGCAGCGTCGTTTGCTGCTGCAAGTAGCCTGCGGGATCATCCTTGAAGTTGGGCTGCTGCTGCTGCTGCTGGGCTGCGGGATGAGGAGGAGCAGGCGTAGAAACCGTTGCCACGGCCTTTATCACAGGCGCTGGAACTGTTGCAGCCGACTCTGCGACTGGCAGCGGACCAGGAGCAGAAACAGGAGCAGGAGCTGCTCCTGCTGTTCGCTTTGGCGCGCTCTCCATGCCCATTGCTTGACTAGTTTGCATGACGGCCGCGTTTGTGGATATGGGCGTGGCTGTGACTGTGACTGGAGCTGAAACTGTTGTCCTGTTGGCCAGCTTATAGCTGCTGTTGTTGYTGTTGTTGCTGCTGCTGCCATATTTGTGGCAATCAGCGTCTGAAATGTAGCAGAAAGAAATTCAAAGGAAAAGTCAGTGAATGTTTGACGCAAGTCCTTCGTTGGTTATGCAAAGTGCGTCGTCCTTAAAGTGCCCGCAACGTGCCCGCGCCGGCAGCAATGCAAAGGGCGTTCCACAAAGGTCGTCATGCCACTTGCCACATGCCACATGCCACTTGCTGCTAGCTGCTTACTGCTTGCCACTTGACAAAAGCAGACAAATGCCAAATGGCTGCGAAAGCGAAACACAATAAAATCAAAGCACAAGAACGTGCACGGCAGACTTAAAAGCAAGGGCCAGTGAAAGAGGGTCCTAGAGACTGGAGCAACTGCTTGGGGGGGGCATTGAACGTGGCCAGGTTCAGCGCTCAGATAATGCTAAACTTAATTAAAATGCTATATAAAGCGGACGCCCACTGTCTGATACTTGAGTGAAATCTCACAAGTTGCTTTGCTAGCCAAAAGCCAAAGGAAAACTGTTTAGGGCAAACGCTGGAAGCTCTATCAAGATGGGATAAGTTTACCTATATTTAGTGTGAAATTATAGCAAATTAAAGAAGTCATAGCTAAGTAAGAGTTGTGTTTCTGTCATAATCCTTAATCCTTATCCTTATCCTTAATGGATATACACAGATCAGTTTCTCTATGAGATTATATGGGAGGTAATGTCTCGTGTGAGCCATATTTTAGTTAAAGATCTAACTTATGTTTAGATTGGGAAAGGCTAGGGCTAGGATCTGCTTCCATTAAGTACTTAGAGCATGAAATATGAATAAAATATTTTCTCCTTAGCAGCGGTAATTTTAAAATTGTTAAGCAATGATAAAATCTATAAGTTTTGAAAACAAAAGTCGAATATGAAATGAAAAAATAAATCACATATTTCTATTTAATGATAGGAATTTGAAAATTGCTAAGCTAAACAGGTCTCAGAACAGAAATCGAAAACGAAATTCATTTGACTTTATATTTTAATGCTAAAGGCAGCAAACCTAATTCAAAGCTGAATTATTTACGCTAGGCAAGTTCCTCCTTGTGCGCAACCACACACAACCACACACACACTCACATGCAAACACTTATTATTTAAGCCGCAATCGCGAAAATTTCTAAAACGCAACAAACTTTTGCCTGGCGCAGCATTTTTAATGCCCCGCTGATTGGGGCAACAACTGCCCCAACGGCAGACGAGCTGTGGCAACGAAAAGTCACCCCGACTGCCACTCCATAGCACACCGCCCCCTCCTCCATCACCAATTCAGTTGCGCTGTTGCGATATTTTTCGAGTGGGCGTGGCTGATAGGCGGATCGCAATGGACGCGCATGGCTAAACTTTGCCGTCAAGTCCCTTTTGTTTCAATTAACCTTTTCATTTGAAAGTTTTAACAATGTTTGCCAACTGTTTTGCCCAGCTGGCGAACAGCGTTACGCCCACAACGCCCTTTGATGATTTGTCCAGCAGCAGAGCAGCAAGTGTCGTGTCGGAGCCACGGATGCCACACGCTTAAAGGTGACCCCAAAATGCGCTCGAAACCCTTTTATTGCGAGTGTCTCTCTCTCTCTCTCTCTAACTCTATCTCTCCCTCTCTCTCTCTCTTTTTCCTCTGTGTGTGTGCCTGGGCTTGTGTCTCTGGGAAATCAACAAATACTTTTTGATATCTCAAATTGAAATCCAAATGCCACAAAAGGCCAGACGCCCAAACAGCTATGCAAAATGTCAAGCAATAACCCAAATGGATACACTGAACGAATTTGGCATACACTGCAAATACTTTGGGGCAATTCAAATTAAAATTTAATATTTTCATATTTATAAAAATCAGCTCAAAGTCTGCTCAGGCTCAAACTTGTTTGCAATCACTTAATTAGTTAGCGAAATTATAGTAAAAACCTAAAACTATTCCGCTTTAGTTGTCCTGCAGCCCCTCCACGCCCCACTCCTCCTGCGCCTTCACTCTGCATAGAGTTGAAGCACTATAAACTTTTTAACACGAATTTCAACAATAAAAATGCTGTTAGATGAAAGTTGCGAAGCCACTTTCAGTAGGCACTTTATGGGCCAAAACTCATGCAGTTAGCACTGGTTGGCCAAAAACTTTGCGCTTTGCTCTACGCCTGGCACAAGGCACAAGGACTCGTTGCTGGGAGCGCTCTGAAGTGGAAATGTTAAACAGTTGGGGCTATTTAATAAACATAATATTTGTTTATGAGAGCGACGGCTCATCCCATCCAGGGCGCAGGGCCCGGAGGTATTCAGTGTACGAGGCGACATTCCTGAACGGCTTTTGACAGCACAAACATGTTCGGGTCCCTTTGAGTGACCCACACAGAGGACGAAATCAAAACAGTCTCGCACACGCCCACACAGACAGAGGAACAGAGAGAGAGAGAGAGAGAGAGAGAGAGAGGGGGACAGGCAGGCAACCAAACAAACAACAGGCGGAAAAACATGACGCTGGCAAATGCGAGGCGCGTGAGGGGGCTGCTGCAAATGCACTTCCTGCTGCCACGCCCACCACCTTCCAAGCGTGTGGGCTTTAAGCTTGTTGAACCCATTTTTCTGTATTTTTTTCTTTCCTTCTGTATGCTTGCTTTTGCATGTATGTATGCGTATCTTTCTGCTATCTCTCTCTCTCTCTCTCACACTCTCTCACTCTCTTTTTCTCTGTTTATATATTTGTGTGTATGTCTTTCCCTTTCTCTCTGTGTGTGCATTTTCACTTTATCATTGTCTAGGCAGCATTTCCCACTTGCCAGCAGCCCAAGTCCACTGCAATTGCATCCGACTGTGTATCTGTGTATGTATATGTGTGTGTATATGTGTGTTTGTAGCTCTATATGTACATAACATTGTTTGTTTGCACCGTGTGCTTTTGGCTCCCACAGGGCTGCCTCGCGCGATGTTTTGCTTTACTTTTCTCGCACTCGCCTGCACTTGGAGCACGTATCTACACTATTTCCAACTGCTTTGCCCACACCAAGCACGTCCCTTCCCTTTCGTCGACCGCTTCGCCATCGCCTGCACAAGCTGTTTTCCCTTGAGTTTGTCGCTGGCTTCACAATTCCTTTCCTTTAGCATACTTTAGTGCGCTGCCAAGGTTCGGGAACCAAAGCGTTCATCTACATACATACATATATACAAATTCTTTGCGACGCTTTCTGCAGCCAGAGTTTTGTCAGGGTTGCCATGGCGCTAAAACTACAAAGCTTTGCCAACTTTTTGGGTGCACAAAATATTTGTGATTGCTTCAGCGATCTCCAAATGAATTGCACACAAAGTAATCCGCTCAAAGCGCAAAACTTTGCTCGCTAGAATTTTAGTGACTATTCATAATGGCCGAATAACTGTAAGTAGCTTTTCCCCCAAACAGTTGACTATCGTAGCAGCAGGGAAATGCAAGAGCGCAAATCTAAAATGCATTGTGACCACCGTGTGATAAGCTGCTTTAAGGGACTTGTGCATGTCGATTGAAAGCTTTAAATTAGATAAGCAGCAATTTGATTGAGCCTGCGACACTCTAGTGTTCCATCAGGCAGTTAGTTAGCTTGAATATTGTCTGTGCTTATCTTTAAATAAAGTTGCTCTACAAATTAGTTTAGCTATCAGCTCTCGCTCACCTTTGTGGGCCAACTCTAATGTGGCTGTTGATGCTGTCGTTGCTGTTGTTGTTGCCGTTGCCGTTGTCGCCGTTGCTGTTGCCGTTGCCGTTGCCGTTGTTGATGCATTTGCTGCAGCTGCTGTTGTTATTGTTGTTGTTGTTGCCATCAACGCAGTAAACGCATCACTGACCGTAGCGACAGCAGCTGCTGTTGCCTTCGCCATCGACATTGTCGTCGCCATCATTAAATCCTTGACAGGCTGCGGATTGTGCAACTGCTCTCCGTCGAGCAGGTGCCGCTGGTGTGAGCAGAGCGCCACAATCGCCTCTTGGCTGCTGCCTGGCGACACCTTTAATGGCATGTTGGGCACCTGCAATTAACATAATGCAACAAATTGTCACATTAGCAATTAGAATTCAACAGCTCCAACAATAATGGATAATGGATGGCGGCGCCGTCAACGACGCATTTGCGATTGTTTCTGTCAATTTGAAATCGAAATTTTAATCAAACACACACACACAAGCACACACACAGCTACTGTGTGATAGACACATTTGTGGCTGCTATTCATTTACATACGAAACGTGAGTGGCATTGATAAAATAGAAACTCTATAAACGCCTAAACGTAGTTTGATTTTGCCTGCGGCGTCTTTGATACCCTGGATTTATAGGCTGCGAGAGGAGAGTGAGAGGTGAGATACTTGAGTTCGGTAAACAAGATTCTTTAATGTGCAATATTTTTTCGTTTTTATCTAAATTTAAATTTTAGCATATTAGAGAAATACATTAGAGATTCGAACTCATAACAGGCAAGGAAAGTAGTTCTAGCTCTTTATAATGGCTTCCGTCTTTCTCTCTTAGGCTCGCATTGCGAATAAATACATTTTATTTTATTTATTAGAAATCATTCTTAAGCTTCTACAGAGTATAAACAAGTTGTGCAACTGAAGTACACGATTTTGTTTACTTATTTGTTTATTTTGCTTTGGTAACCTTCAGCACATACACAGCACAATAGCCAACCCAAACACACACACACAGACACACATACATAGAGCACTTTTGCAAATAGATATCAAATACAAGTCGAAGCGAGCACACTGAACGAACACATGTAATCCAATCAGATGCTGCAAATTGCGCTTAATAAGTACATCAAAAGATTTGATGGCGCCCGGCATGGGAACGCCTCTGCCCCGCCCTCGGCAGGTGATGGGCGAAGGCTAGGAATTTATGCAAATTAGTCATTTGCTCAGGAGGGGGGAGGGAGGTGGCGGCATCAATTTACGCGCCCCGAAGCATGACGACGACCCTTTTTTGGGGCGGCGAGGCGAGGCGCGCCTTTTGTGCCATTTCAATCAGTGGACGGGCAATTGCTTCATTTGGTCGCTTAAGCGCTGCAAACGAGTCGCTCGACCAATTTGGTCAGCAATTTGCGCAAACCAATCCAACTGCAAATTCCACAGGCCAAACTTGGCTAAAATACAAAAAGAAAACAAGTGAAACAAAAAGCAGCCACATTAATGCGATGCAGTGCTCAAAAAGCAATCAGCTCGGCGCCTTAAAAGTCGATTGTGACTGCATAACAACTGCATCACTCAAACAAATGTTGTTGTTSTTAACAGCGACTGCTCAAGACCTTTAGAACATTCAGCCACAAACCCGAGCTGGAAAAACTGTCAAGCAGTTGAGTCGAGTGACTCAAAGTGTTTTGCCCACAATAACCACAATTTCTATATTCAGAAGAAAACGTTTCTAAATAAATTTATTCATTTGCCACGCCCAAAAGACATGACGGCCATCCATGTATATTAGTAGCATCCATGTTTATTAGTTCCCTTGCTCGTTTCGAATCTCCTGCCCCAAGCATTCGATTTGCAATGGGAGCATCTCTGTTATAGTCGTTGACTTTGCTCTTAATTTTCCTACTTGGATTGGTGTTTGCGGTTATTCATATTGCATCTGTCACTGCCACTGAAACTTAGTCAAAAGCATGGTTGCAAACATAATCTCAACTCTCTCTCTCTCTCTCTCTCTCTATCTATCTGCCCTCTCTGTCTGTCTTTTAACCAATGCGCTTGCGAGCTGATTGCAAATGTTGAATGGAAACCTCAGAGATGACTTTACGTCCCCCCGGCCACCCAAACCCCTCAGTATTCGACTTATGCATACATATATTGTGCATATTCAGTTGGTTCATTGTTTTTCTTTTTTTTTTTTTTTGGGCGTGGCTAGGCCTGCCCGCCTGCTAGTAATGCGATAAACGAAGTGCAACCCATTCGGAACACTCGTTGACCAGAACAACCCAGAGTATTCATGCAATATACACGCAAATTTAATTGGCATTTAATGGAAAAATAATTAGTTAGCAACAGACTGCCATGTTGCTGCAGCATCAACAACAACAACAACAGCAACAATGGCAATTGTTGAAAGCTGAAAAAACAGTCTCACATATTGCTATCAGAGAATAAAATGTCATATTTATTATACGTAATGGGGAGAAAAAGAGAAAAACAAAATGAGAGCCAGATAAATTCAAAATGAATACTATAATTTTTAATACATCAATCAATATATTACATATTTATAATTTAATATGTGCAACAAAAAGACATATGTAAATAAAGCTGTTAAAAACATTTATAGAGCCAGTGATGGGCATTCATGTTTGCGATATATCGATGGATATTAATATATCGGTTTACTTAGCGGATGGCTGAAGCCACGACTTTTAAAGCTTTTTAAAGCTTTGCCTTGTCTTAATTAAATCATAATGATTTTAATAAGTAATTTGTGAGTGATCAAAATGTGTTCATTTTTAGTTTTATCTTTTTCTTTTTTATTATTATTATTTTATTTATTTTTTTTATCAAATACATTAGAGCTGCTGAGTCGATCGATGTAAACGTCGATAGTATCGATGGTTGGATCCATCGATTGGAGTAACCATCGACTGTACCTGTTTATCGATGATTTTGCAGCCCTACAAATTGATTCAAATTCCAATTTGCTCGAAGAACAAAGTATACTTTAGTTGAAATTAAAAATATTGTTTGATTACATCTTGTTATATACCATTTGTGAAATACGTCCATTACAGGGTACAGATACATGAATTTATCATTATCGTTATGTAAAGTCTTGTTAACGTTTCAAATACATAAAACGTTATGTGTATTTACAGATGGCATGTTCGAAATACATTTTTGCATATTTGACATATTAACCAGCGCTGTTTTTGACAGAAATTAGCAGGGGTGAGCGGCAGAGTGCAGACATGGGACACGCCTATGTAAAGCACGCAATAAAATGCCAAGCGACAGAGGCAGAATAAAAAAAAAATAAAATAAAAACAACGAAAATACCAACAAAACATTGCACTTTTGCATGCATAATTGCGACGAAATTAAAGCAAAATGCGCAGACAGCGGGAAACGGGCAGCGGGGAGCGATGAGGTGGCCACGACAGCCACATGAGTGGTGGCAGAAACACCACCACCAGCACCAGCGCCAGCACCAGCAGCAGTTGGGCAGGTGTGAAGCTTGTGCACAGGTGCATGGCCGGTGTTGGATTTCATTAACATCATAATGACCGGCGAACGAACGACGCCAGACGGCCCCGACAGCTTTAATCCTGGCCGGCTGGCCTGCCACAACAATGAGTTGGGCACATGCAGACCAACACCTCAGTTGCCACCACCCCCTGGACTGGTTGCTCCTCCTCCTTACCGGGCTTTCTTTAGCTGCAGCTGGCGCTAGGGCCTCGGCTTTGGCTCTAACCCTTGTTGGCAGTGGCAAGCGAGGCGCACTCGCGACAGGAACCTCCGCCACTACCGGATGTGAGTAATCGCTCAGTCACGTCGTTGCGTTGCGTTGTCCTGCAGAACATTGCTGTGCAGCAAGATTCCTGTACCGCATTATTGGACACTACCATGCCCTGCCCTGCCATGCATGACGTAACCCGCTACGGAAGTCGCTCCGCGCACATGCAATGGCCCGGCTAATGGACACCAAGCAACAGCAGCAGGAGGAGGAGTGAGGGAGCCACTTGGATGTGGCAAGATATAGCACGTTGCAGCCACGCAGCATTTTTGTGTGCAGTTAGCTGCTAAATTCTTGACATTTTCCAATCAGAGCAGCAACCTTTCACATTCACCGGAAAATGCAGAAAGCAGAATGCAAAATGCCTTCAAGCAGAGCTGTTTTTATCTGTTCCCTCCCCCCTTCTGCTTCTTCTTCTTCCTCTCCCTCAAGCATTCATTGCCTGCGACCTTCTTGCGACTCCCTTTAAGAGCCGAAGCACTTTTGAAAATTGAACGGCAGCTAGTTGGAGTTGCTCACATTGAGAGGCCCTGCAGCCTGTCGACGTTGACTTGGACTTCTTTTTGTTCTTCCTTCCCGTCTTAATGCCACGCTGTCTGCTCTTGGCGCGTACAACATTTAATTTGGACTAATGAAGTTTCTATAAGAGTTCGCCTAAATGACTGGCAAGAAAAGAGCGATGCGCCAGCCGTGGCCAACGACCCAAAGCAAACCAAGCTGAACCGCAAAAAAAAAAAAAAAAAAAAAAAAGAAGACAACGAGAGGAAAGGATCCCAACTGGAAACTCAGCCAAAAATTCAATTTGGCCCAAAAGTGAAGTTGAAATTTGCGCGGCAATTGCTCTTCCTGCTCGCAGCTCGAGTGACGTGCAAATTGCACAAAAGAAACATGGAAAACGGCATACAGTGCAGTGACAGACGCAAGGATACCCTGTAGAGTGAAGAGCTTTGAAGCTGATTCTCTTTTTATATGCATACCAAGTTGATTCTCGATCTAGATTGAGAAGACAATTTAGACATATAATATATATTATTTTTATAGCAGATTAAACTGTTGAGCTGTTAACTTGACATTGAATTTAAATAAAAAGCAAAAATTAGCTTTTAGTCTTTGATGACTATGGTGCTTTGCATTTCCTCATACGCAACAAGCAACCCTCTTGTGTACTTAGTGCTGGGTATAGATAGCGAACTGACACATCGCCTCGGCCCACCTGCCGTCGCTGGCCCAGCGCTAATTGTTTTAGTTGTTGTTCCATGAATATGCTAAGTTGTCTGCTGCGTTTTGCGTCCACCCGCCTCACCGCCTTCGCGCCCCTCGCCAGCTCGCTCAGCAAATGTTTATAAATGCAAATTGGCCGAAAAGTGCAGCAGCAGGAACAACGACAGCGTCACTTTCTGGACGTGCTCGGTTAAATATTGTGTACTCCGCCCTAAAAGTGGCAAGAGCCAGCAGGGGCAGGGGACTGCGGCGACAGGTTTAAATGACTGAAACGATTCACTGGGATTGACTGGGGCTCACTTTCGGTTTCGGGTCGGCCCTGGCCCGGACAAGTGCTGTCAGCTTGGCCCTGACATCACAGGCCCTGCACTGCTCCAACCGCCGATCATGATGTGGGCCAGCTAGCCTTCACACACATACACACACACACACACATACAAGAGACAACCAGTTGAGCAGATGGAAAACAGACTTGGGCGCTGGCCCATACAAATAATATCATTTTGACTTTTATAGCGTGTCTGTGTGAGTGCTCGTGAGTGTGTGTGTGTGTGTGTGTGTGTGTGTGTGTGTGTGTGTGTGTGTGTGTGTTTTAAACAGCAACAACAAACAGTTCCCATTGCGTTTTAATTTTTGGGTTTCAGTTTTATTATTTTTATTGAGAGTTGTAAATTTTGAGCTGCCGTTCGACGTTCAGCGTTCGGCATTCGACGCTGACCTTCTCAAGTTTGTCTGCTCGCTGTTCCAATTGTTGCTGTATGCATTGAGCTTGTGCCGCACCGTATGACAGACTTACACAAAGCAATAACAATCTGGGGCCGGGGCCAAAGTTTTATTTGCTTGCTCAACTTGCGTTACACAAATTGCGTTCAATGCGCTCAAAATAGAACCCTGTGAAATACTTCAAGTATTTATATATATACATATATCTGCATGCTTATATACCTATGTATATATAGTACAGGCATAGGCAGCTGAGAGAAAAATCAATTTCTATTGTTTCACACTTATTGCAACGGAGCAGCGTTTCTCGTTCTTTCAATTCAATTGGAAATTTCAATTGCAAATAATTGTTTAATTAGTCTCAATTGCAGTTAATCTATACTTATGCATGCGTGCGTGTGTGTATGTGTGTGTGAGGGATATATAGATATATCACGCATATCAGCAAAGCACCTTTGAAGGGCAATGTGTCTGTTTTATTTAGCTTCTAGCTATAAAATGTCCCTAGATTAAGTATACGCCATGAATATTACGCATACGATATGTGGAACGGCAGTCATATATACAGAAAATAGAAATTATTGAAACTTAAGCAACATGCACACTGTGTGTGTGTGCATGTGTGCGAGTGTGCTAGTGTGTACCCTATTTTATACAGCCATGCATAAGGTCATAGATATTTGTATATATGTAGATATACAAACAATAGCCAGTGCATAATGAGCACAAGGTCATTGTATAAAAACAAATATATATGTACAAGTATATATATATAATATATATATAACAAACTCCTCGACTTAGTATGGATTGTGAAGGTAATAMATTTACTTCTGCTTCTTTATTTTTATTTAATTGATGCGATGACTAAGTATTTCTGCTCCTATTGAATTTGCTGCTAAGCCATTATACGATATCCACAAAAATCGATAACAAACCAAAAATATTTGTTTAGGCCAACTATCCATAAGCCACTGGAGTGAGCTCAACTTTAAGTCTTGACTTTGCTTTGCTTCGAAGTCGCATAAATAAATATTTGCTTAAGCACTTTCCAATTGCCAACTCTATTCCATTTTATTCCATTCCAGGCACATGCACATGCATGTACGCAAATCTGTGGCCACTTGGACAGCGACACACATCATAATTTGCAGCACAAACTGTGCAACATGACTGGCAAGATGGCGCTATGCGATATGGGCGGTAATGGGGCGTGCCTAATGCGCCGCACCGCTCCTAGCCGGAGTGTATGTCACTTGAGTGGCGACTTTCACCCAACGAGCGAAAAAACAAATAAACAAAAAAAAAAAAAACTAAACAAAAAACAATCCCTAACCTACCACACCTCGCTGCAAGAGACACAAAGGCAACTTAAGCGACAGCAAAATGGCAATAATCAAAACAAAGAGCAAACAAACCAATAAACGAACGTAGACTTCATTATGGAGGCACATCAATCATTGCCAAAACACGAAACCCCAGCGCCAACTGGGATAGGCCGCCAGCAGGGAGCGCGCGCGGGGATACGTTCGAGTTGAATGTGCCAAGAGACGTCGACGAGAGTAGACAACAAAAAGAAAAAACCCAAAAAATAAAAGCACAGTTGCCAGTTTGCCACAACGATGTGCAGATAGAGAGACAGACAGACAGACAAGCCACCAGAGTGAGAGGCAGAGACAGAGCGGGAGCGAGAGGGAGAAACATAAAGGGCATCAAAGGGGAGAGTGTGAGAGAGATCTGCAGCTGGAGCCAAGACAGTCAGTCAACGACTTGTGGTCAGCCTGCTGGGAGGGCAGAGAGGGGAGCGAGCCCGCAAGAGGGCTTATACGGTGGCACAATAAAGTGTTTAGTAAACAAATTGCGGCTGCCTTTTGATAATATGCACGCAGTCAGCTGAGCAGCTGCGCAGCTGCGGCGCAGCCTGCAACACACCCGCTGGCGGAGGGAACTTAGTCCACGGGCGAGAGGGGGGAGGGCCTATAATAGGGATAAGTTATAAGTACATTGCACCGAAATATCGATTGACGAAAGCCACAAAGAAGCCAAGACGAAGAGAGCGAGAGCGAGAGGGAGAGTGTATAAAATCGGGAGAGAGTTTGAGGTACATGCGAGTGTGTGTGCATGTGTGTGTGTGTGTGGGCGATGAGAAGGACATTGATTGTGTGCGGGCGGTTGGACAGACGGGCGTTGGCGCCGACTTCACGCAAAAACCAAAGAGAAAACCATAAACTTAAATTAATGACCTCAGCCGAGGCGCAGTGCTGCGCTGAAAAGTCGAAGAACGGGACCGTGTGCAAGCGAAGCGAAAAGTCAATAAGAGCAAGAGCAAGAGCCAGAGCAAGAGCCAGAGCAAGCAGCAGCAAAATATGAAGACAAAGAAATTGTGGAAGAAGCGGAACACTGTGATTTACCGTTGCAGTTGCGCTGCTCCAATTGGAAATGAATCTTATTGCTGGCGATTTCACTGCGATTCTCAATATGAAAACACATAAAGATGAAAATACTTGTCAATTTGGAGCAACGTCTGCCTCTGCTCCGGCTGCTGCTGCTGCTACGGCAGATGGTCGGCCGTTTGAAGCAGTCAACATTGGCTAAGTGATTATGCAGTCGACGTCGACATAGCCGATTTGTTGTCAAACTGGTTTTACAAATATTTTGCCCAGGCGGTGGGGTATATGTATACGTATGTATGTGTATGTGTGTGTGTAATTGTGTGTGTTGCCAGGCGGCAGTTACATGGCTGCAGCGCTTAGTGAAAGTCGCTTGAATGCCGTTTTCTGTCAGCCCCTGGCACACCCCGCTTTGCCCAGACGCCTGTCAGCCCCCCAATGCTAGTTAGCTCAATGCGCATTCAATTAGGTTTAGCTCAAGCTTTTGGCTTTGGCTGCCAGCTAACCCAGGCCGATGTTTACAGACAATTATGAGACAAACTAGTTGCAGTTGCAGCTAACTTACCTGAGCATTAAAATCGAAAAAGTATTCCGGCCGCAGCGGACACGGCAGGCCACACTTGCAGGTACCCTGTGTTAGCAAATAGTCCTTGATTTGGTATTGGGTGCGCAGCGTTTTGCCCGTTGGACTGTAAGAAACAAGTAGAATAAATAGATAAATGCTTATGCATTATGCAGCCGATTAATGTTATAAATTATTTATTAGTTAATACAACAATTTGTTGTATGCAAATGTCAATTAAAAACTCGTCAGCAATAGCCAGCTAAGTAATTAACCCCAACTATGTGTGTTAACAGCCTAACAGCTAACAGAGAGCAAAGGCGGCTCGAGCAACACGCGGCTGTTTAACGCTAACAGCTCATTAACATAATGGGCAAATGAGGCGTCGTTTCGCATTAACATAACAATGTTAAGCGACAGTTGGCAAGCACTCGCAGGCAGACACATGCATGCATACATGTGTGTCTACGTGCATGTGTATGTATGTGTGCACATACATAAATTAATTCCAATCAGAATTGCTCGCTGCTCGTTTTGATCGCATGTCAAATAAGTGCGCGCCACTCAGCGCATAATTCAAACTGGTTTTTACGTATTTGCACTCAGCTCTCGCTCTCCACGTGAGCTTATCGTTGAGCTCTGAGCGGCTTAACCAGGGCCCTCGTGGAGTTGAGTCGCGTGATTTGATGATCCGGCTTCACTACAGAAGTGGGCATACAAATCAATTCAATGTTAACTTGGGGTTGCACCTTTAAAATTGCTCACTGCAGTAAAATTATCGCTTAACTTATTTTAAGACTATATTTATCAAGTATTGACTTTCGATTCTGATATACATTTACATTTAAGATGATCTTGAGGAATAATAAACATTATTATTTCTATATACTTTATATACAATAATACAAATTTATAATTGAATTAATTGGTACTGTAATGACTTGAATTCAAGATTTAGTTCCTAGCCATGGAATACTTAAATCTCTTATTTTACGTCTAAAGCTGATAGTAAATTACTTTTAATTTAATTTTCATAGATAGCGAAATATCTTGCAAAGGACAAACCAATTTATTTCAAGTTTTTTTGTATCTGTCTCTATTATTGCAATATGTCACTCGAATTTCATAATTCTCCAGTTTTCCCAACTGGTTCACTGCGAATTTGCAGCTCTATTGTTATGCAATCTCTGGAATCTAGTTCAACCCGCTTTGCAACAATTGCTAATTGCGTCTTAGGGTATCTGCTGTTCTACCCCATCCAAAAACCACATTCGTAATCCGTTTTGCGCTCATTTCATTTTTACAACAATGAGATTTATAAAGAGCGAAGATTTAATTTTGAACAGCATTAAAATATGCGCAGAACCAAAAAATAAACAAAAAACGAATCCAGTGAATCAAGTTTTTTTTTATTTTTGATATTTTTTGTTGGGTTCTCAACTTTTTCGAGCCCCTCTTGCAGGGGCCACGCATGACCGCAAATGTTAAAAAGTTGTTCTCGGCTTCTATATAAGTATGTATATACATATATGTGCATATATGCTGCGCATAAAAATCATTTGGGGTTAAAACATGGCGAAAACAAAAAAAAAAAAACAAAAGAAAAAGTTTGAAAAAAAATCAACGCTGGCTGCTTATTAATTATAAAGTGTGAGCATGTTGATGGAATCAAGGGCGCTGCCAATGATGATGACGACGACGACGACGACAGCGCGGCAAGGCGAGGCGAGTCGAGTCGAGTCGCACTTGAGCCCCGGGGCTTCTCAGCCAGAAATGTTGAATAGGACAAGCTGCGCAACAGCCGAGTGGAAGGGGCAGAGCCTGGTGCCCGCTCCTCATCTCGTGTGGGAAATCTGAATAATGCATATCAAGTGTGAAAGCGGCAGGGGCACTAAACGGAACGAAACTAAAGGACGGCAGCAATAGCAGCAGCAGCAGCAGTAACAGAGACGACAATCTACATAATTGAGCGGCATCAGCGGGTTAAACGAGTATGCGAGAATTGTCAATTGAAGAAGCCCGGTAGCAGCAGCAGCAGCAGCGCAGGATGAGTTGGATCAGGGTCTGCGACTGACACTGGGCCTGGGACTGAGCCAGAGCCAGAACGGCGACCACGGTCAACGTCGCATTCGTTCTCATCAATGGGCCTCACAGAAAAACAACAAATCGGAGTGCGCACTAAGGAATGGCTGACTACAAGTTACCCTAGGAATAGCATTAAACTGCAGGCGTAACTATCGAACTATCAGCTTTTATCTCAAATCGATATTTATCGATTGAAGTTCATACTCAATCTGGTTGGTCGGTCTATACAGTCCAGCCATAAAAAGTCAATAGATATTTATCGATTTCAGGAAAAAAAAGCATATCAATAGTACAAATGAAAACGCATATAATCTTGAAGTCTACAAAATTGAGTAAATAGTTCGATCACAAAACTCGACTACCTTGCTAAACTATTTCGCCTGTGTACAGGGTATATGAAAAGGGCTATCTGCCAATTGAAAGCTGAAACTGGTTTGTTTTATTAATTATTTTTAACTAGTTGCTTGGCCGTCAGCGCAAATCGAAGGCAAGTCAATTGGCTAAATGTGCGAAGAGGTGGCCGGGAGGAGAGTAAGGGAACGATCAACGCCAATGCTTATAGCTCAATTTGTATGCCGTTGGCGTGGCCCAAGGCTGGCTTAAGGGCTCACAATTACGAGCAGACTGCAATCTGATATTCCGTTCAAGCACGAAGCTCGGCTCATTATGTTATTTATTTACATAAAACGCGCTAATAACGCGAGGGATTGGGCGCTTCAAGCACTGCAGCTGAGTTCACATAAAAAGGCGTTGAGCTAACGAGTTAAAATAATTTAATAAATTACGTTCACAAAGAGCGTCAAGTGGCCAAAGTGGCCGCCTGAATGCGCCAAAAAAGCACGCTCGAACGCAACTCGGCTCGAGTAGGTGGAAAAGCCGTACGCCTCTGTGACCTTGAAGTGCACCCTCGAGCCAGCCCTGGACGAAGGCGGAACGGGGCACAGCTGCAGAGACACAAGACACAAGAGGCGAGTCAAGAGACGAGGGGCATGCACTGAATGGGCCTATTACTAAATTAATAAACCCGAACGACGCCAGCAAAAGGCAATGCCAGCAAGGGCCAAAAGGCAAACAGGCTAAAGCTCTCAAAGAGTCTGACACAAATACCAAAGAATTGTCCGCCGATAGCAGCAGGGGCAACAGGGGCAGCCGAAGCAGCACAGAGACTTGTTATTGCAACGTTAACTGAAAGCAGTCGACTCTAAAGTCCCCAGGGGACGCCTTTTTACTAATCAAATTCTTTTGCTAAATTTTAATGCGCGAGGCTTTAAAGAGTTTAAAGAATGTGCATAGCATAGAGCGCGCTGTTATTAACAGACATTTAAAAAGAGCAATTAACATAACTTAAAGTTAATGTCAACATAATACAATCGCCTTATAAAGTCATAAAGAGAATTACAGCATTTGAAATGCAGTTTACAGCATATAATTAACTTCATGTGGACAATAGGGATAATTTCAGTATGCATTTGAATAATAATAAACTTAAAGATGTGCGTAGCATAGGGCGTGCTGTTATTAACAGACGTTTGTGATCAGTAATTAACATAATTTAATGTTAACATACGATATTTGCATTCGAATTGCAGTCAGTAGTTTATTTGTGTACTATTTATTTATAATAGTTATAATTAAAATGAATACTAACTGCAACTTACTAACTAACTGACAACTAAGGCCTTCGGCCATTGCAGATTATAATTAAACTGACATTTACATATGCAATAAAAGAGTTTTCCATATTCATATCAATATAGCCAACACGAATGCTTATTAATTTTCATCTCTTCCCAACATCTGTTCCCACGAAACGTTTAGCGACAATTTTGTGCGGTGGGCGTTGGCCAAAAATCAACACAAAATCGGCAACAACAGTGCAGGTCTGCAGGTCGTCGAAGTCAGAAAACTGCAGGCGGCAGACAGAGACATCGACGACAGCTGATGCAACCAGCCAACGCGCAGCGAGTAGAAGCCCGTGATGGACAGACCTGATGGCAGCGGCTGGAACTGCGCTGTGACTCTGGCTGTGTCTGCCACTGAGGCCTGTCGCATGTGGAGAAAATTGAAAAACTGGCCGACTCTCTGGCTGTCTGTCGGCCTGTCTGACTTTGCCAAACTATTCCGCATTCTTGTTTTTTTCTTCACTTTTTTTTTGCAGTCAGTTGAATTGCTGGCGGCCTTGCGGGACGCTCGGGTCGCCTCCATTCCAGCTGCCGCATCTAATTTATGATTTATGTGTGTGGCACAGTAGGCGGGCCCTCGTTTTGACCTGAAAATGTGCATGTGTCACAGTTCTATATATATATATATA